CTCACACACTCACTCTCTCACTCACACACACACTCACTCACACACGCATTTGTATTTATACTTTATATGTATGTAGATTTTTATAGTTATTTTTATAGTTGTTATATATTATTAAAAAACTTAAGTAATTTAATTATTTTATTTTAAATATAAGTATGTATATGAAATATAGGTGCCACGTGAGTTGTTCTTCTTCTACTGTGTAATGCTGTGGTTACAGGTGATAATCAGAGCTCCGCAGGTCGTGTCAACTGCGCATGCTCCGCGTTGTCGTCAGCCGTTTTAACGCGCGAACGGGACTTTTATTATGGTGTGGTGTTGTGACGTCACGCCTGCGCTGTAGCGGTTCTGCGGAAGAAAGGTTTGTGGAGAAAGTGTTTGAATCGATATAAACAGGCGATGTGTAAATGATTGGTGACTGCAGCATCGTAACGCTTTGTCTACCGCTAGCGCACGTTATTTCTGTGAGCACACTGAATCAGTTCATCACTAACACGCATTCAGCGACTCCGAGTCAACTGAGTCAACGGTTCTGTGTTCGGAGTCGCTCGAGTCACCAGACCACCTCAACAGCACAGCGCGTACAAACCAGCCGTGAACATATTACCTGTATTCTCCAGAGATGTAGTTTGTGTTGATTCTCTCTCGAACAGGACAAGCTGAGAGACACACGGGTGAAGATGATGGGTATTAAAGAGGAGACTGTAGACTTCAGGATTGAAGAGGTGTTCAGTCTGAGACACGAAGACGCGGAGGAACTCACAGGTAGCTTTCTTTCTCAAAGCTCAACTCATTCATCCTCATTAACATGTACAGAAATGAGTCATGTTTCTGAAGAATCTCGTGTGATTAGAGTAACTAGTAGTAGAGTAACTGGTAGTAGAGTAACTGGTAGTAGAGTAACTAGTAGTAATAGAGTAACTGGTAGTAGAGTAACTGGTAGTAATAGAGTAACTAGTAGAGTAACTGGTAGTAGAGTAACTGGTAGTAGAGTAACTGGTAGTAGAGTAACTGGTAGTAGAGTAACTGGTAGTAGAGTAACTGGTAGTAGAGTAACTGGTAGTAGAGTAACTGGTAGTAGAGTAACTGGTAGTAGAGTAACTGGTAGTAGAGTAACTGGTAGTAGAGTAACTGGTAGTAGAGTAACTGGTAGTAGAGTAACTGGTAGTAGAGTAACTCGTATTAGAGTAATTCGTATTAGAGTAATTCGTATTAGAGTAACTAGTATTAGAGTAACTAGTAATAGAGTAACTAGTAATAGAGTAACTAGTAATAGAGTAACTAGTAATAGAGTAACTAGTAATAGAGTAACTAGTAATAGAGTAACTAGTAATAGAGTAACTAGTAATAGAGTAACTAGTAATAGAGTAACTAGTAATAGAGTAACTAGTAATCACACGTTTACAGATCTGTTGAGATCACAAACACTGATGCTGGAACTCAGATGACTCTACTTAAAGTTTTCATTCATTATGATGTTCTTATGACGCAGTAAATTAAGACGAATCATATGAAAGTGGCATAAACTGAATTGTTACAATATTTTGTGTGGCATCCCAGCTAACAGAACGTTCCCCGTTTTTGGTTCCTGTTCGGTTCTTTTTGTGGGAAGCAAGTGCTAATGTGATAGACTGGAGAAGTGCCTGTTATACAAGGGTTCAGTCATCGCTCTAGCCGTGAAAGCTAGGACGGGAGAAAGATCGAAAGGACTGCACATGCTGGAAGTCCAGCCAGAAGAGCGTTGCAGTAGACTAGTCTATAAATGCCGAGGGTCTGGACAAGCTGTGCTGCGTGCTCTGTTCGGCAGGGTCTGATCTTCCTGATGTTGTGTCGTGCAAACCTGCACGATCGAGCTGTTTTTAAAGGTCAGCAGATCATCAAGGATCACCCCGAGCTCGGCGGTGGGGTTATCAGTGATGGTGAACTGGTGCTGTACTGATGGGGTGGCTGGGAAGATGCAGGTCATGTTCCTCCATCTGTGCTGAGATGTCCGTCAGGCTAGCGTTGCACGATTAATGAATGTGATTGTCCTGTGCATCTCGTCAGTAAAGCGGTTCTGTGATCAGTAGTAAATCTCCATCACCTGCTTTCACACGGAGCAGCATTTACTACAGAGCCGTAGTTCTCTGACAAGCTACATAATGTCACGTTCATAATCACAGACGATATAATCGTACAATTATGAAATTGAAGAAATCGTTTGCGATAATGACAGCTGTTTGCGTAGCTTCTCAGTGAACTACGGCTCTGTGTAGTAAATGCTGCTCCATCTGAAAATACCACATTTAATAACATGCTTTTACTCCAAATTCACTTCATAACGTACAAAGCATCGTGCATCGTGCTATGATCTCCGACGGGCTGTAAGAGCCGCCAAACTCCGATACAGGGAACAAATTGAGTCTCATTTTCAGCTAAAAGACTCCCGACTCATGTGGCAGGGACTGAGGACCATCTGTGCCTTTGGAAATAAATCCTCTGCAGCTGTGAGCGCAGACCCGTCGCTGGCTGACGAGTTAAACTCTTTCCACAGCCGCTTTGAATGCAATCGAGGCAGAGCGACTCTGCCGATCAGCACGTCAGGAAGCTGCAGACATAATCATGTAATCACTGTGTTGGAGGACGAGGTTCGGAGGACCCTAAAGCGAGTGGACGTCAGGAAAGCAGCAGGTCCTGATGGGATTTCT